GGGGAGAAAAGAGAGTGAGATGGCAGATAGGAGGTTTAATTTGCTTCTTGCTCCAGTTTCCATTGGTGGGGCGCTTCCAATTCAGCAGGACTGCCAGCTGCCTGGAATTGCTCCTGGACCCCTCTCTTTCCTGTTAACCTTCATAATTGTATTATTACCGGCCAGCCCACAACTGGCCTCTCCAGACAGAGAGGAGCACAGCTCTTCCCTGCATCAGATAAGCAGGCAAAGTCAAAGAGAATGGTGGAGACAGAAAGGCAGCGGACACGCGCAAAGGGCGCTCTACGCACGGCTCTGCTGTAACTTAACCCTGGGTTGGAGGGCTGCAGGACAGTGGGTTCAAGAAGGAAATAAGTCTGTGACCTCAATCTTCTGGAAAATGAATGTGAAGGATATCCTTGCAAAGTGCGCGGTGTGTCTGGGAGGGAGCGATGTGCAATGGCAGCGACTGTGACTATTTCTCACGTGTGGACCAGGAGGCAGGCTTCACACAAACGGGCTCCCTTCCCTCGGTCTTCACCCGCTGCACTGGTAGTACCATTACCTCTGTTTAACAGATGAGGGAACTGAGTGTGGTAGAGCTGTAGAAACACATGTCGGTTCACAAATAGTAAGTGGCTGAAGCGAAAATGTAAACTCAGTTTTGCCTAAATCAGGGCTGCCACGAACAGCTGGGAGGGAGGTACACGCACTGCTTGCTCCAAGAGACGCCTCACGTATTACTGACAATGCAAACGGCAAACCCTGGTGGCCTGTTTGGCAGAAGACATTTTAACCGTGGAATATACTGCCTCCCAAAGTTTCTGGTAAAAACAAAATGAGTTCAATCCAGCGAGATTCTTAAGAAGCTCCGAGATTCTAAGGTAGTTTGAAATCCATGGCATTCAACAGACAAACTCAATTTGATTTTTTCTAAGGGCCGTTTTGGCTGACTTCCCTACAGCTCTAATTTCCCAACTGGCTCTGTCTTTTGAGATTAAACCCCAAGTCTATTTTTATACAATACTGAAAGCACCAATGTCTGATTCATACAGGCACTCAATAAAGATCCATTGCAAAGAACTGGTAGGCAGATGGGTGAATCAATGAATGAATGATGGAATGAATGACTGCAGACCGTCAATAGGAGATGCCTGCTTATCACAAGGACAGAAGCAGAAAGGAGTTCTGCTTGCTCTTCTCTGAGAAGTCTGACTCTTGTGGAGTGACGGGGGCTCTGCCACACTCCTCAGACTGGCTTCCACAAAAGCTGCTGTCATTTGTGGGCATCCTTGATTTTTTTTTTTTTTTAAATAACTGGAAATGCAGGCTGAGGCACAGTGGCGGCAGCAGCTCTAGCTGCAGAATGGAGGTAATATAATGTGTTGCTGGCAGCCTAGGAGGAAGCGGGAGGGTAATGAGCAAGGAAAAAGCATGTTCAAAAATGAACGAGTGGGTGAAGCCTCGTAAACTCCTCTCAGACAGGACATGCCCCTGGAGCCTCTGCCCGCACAGGGAGGGGCCAGGCAGCTTCCCCAAGGAACAGCAGGGTGAAGCTGGAGACAGGGCTGAGGGGCACCTACTGCCACACACCAAAAAAATTAAATTAATAAAAGTAAAAATGAAGCATTACGTGTAGCAGGCAAGTGTTATTAAAACACTGTAATGTCTCAGAGGTTCCTATGAAGTCATGTTCCTACAATTCACTCATAAGAATTTAAAGACAAAATTATATGCCTCGTAATTCTCCAATGAGTGTGTTTTTCTATGGATCCCATTGTTAGATGGGATGCACAGCTTCCAGAAAGTTTAAATCATTGAAGGGATTAAAAAAAATGTGGCACTTTCCAGAAATCCAGCTGCACACGCCTCAGCAGGAACAACTGTGAATCCTGACTGCGTCCGCACTGATGTGTACGCTGGTATACACGTGTCAGGACACACTTCCCACTAGGGTTGCAAATGCAAAATGGCCAGAGACCAGGCACTTGCTTAAAGGAGGAAGCAGGCAGGGAACCAGGACTAGGGAGTGGTGACACTTGTCCCTACCTAGACAGCTTCAAGAAGCCCTACCCCAGCGAGCACCTTGAGCCCTGCATGGGAGTGGAGCTGGAAGTCCAGGTATTCTGATCTGACAGTGAGCCCGACACATCAGGGTTTGCAAAGGAAATCTCAGGAAATGTGAATGGGTACTCAAGTACGTTCTTTACAACACTGTAAATTAAATATATTTGTGGTCTGAATACTTCTGTCTACACCTGTGTCTACACATACACCACTAATGATTAATTGTATTTAGGTACTATATGACCAAGCCCTCTGCGTTAAATGTTGCGAGTTATTTGGGGGCTACCTCAGTAAGTTTTCAGACAACAACTCCCACTTAAAAGATGAACAACCAGAGTGTGGGAGTTATCTGTGGATCTGGGAAGTGATTGGTACTGCAGTCTGAATACACAGCATCCCCCAGAAGCCCATGAGGTAAAGGTTTGGCTGCTCTCTTGAGGAACTAACAGAAAGTAATGGAACCTTTAAGAGGTGCGGCCCAGGGGGAGGAAGTGAGGTCACTGGGGTGTGACCCTGAAGAGATGCCTCCCAGCAGCCCTGAAGTGAACAGACCTCCATCAGCCATGACTCTCACCCACAGTGACAGGGCTGAGCAGGCATGACGTGAAATCTCTGAAACCAAGAGTGAAAACAAACATTCTGTTCTCATCAGCTGTTCAGTTCAGGCATTTTGTCACAGTAATGGAAAGCCGACTAAGACCAGTGGCAATCAGGTACCAGAATTCAGACCCAGAAGGAATCATCCCAAAGGGAAGGAAACAGGAGCAGCCTGGCTCAGCAGTACCTAATACCTCCTGCCTCCATTCTGTCTCTGGAGAGGTGAAGTCATCAAGGCCTGTATCCAGTGACCACACAGCAGTGAGAGAACCAGGCCCGAAGAGTCTGAGGAGGCTCTGTGCTGATACCAAGTTATTAGGAGAAAGCTGGTCCATGCCCAGTGCACTCTACCTGCTCAGGCGCATGTGACCACAGACATGAGCTGCGCCTTCCCGGCACAAGGCACTCTTTTTAATAAAATTCGATTAAACTTGCATACTCACACACCAGGATTTGGGGTGGAGGATCGTTTCTCTTTTTTCCGTCCTACTCAAGATCTGAGAGAAATTTCAGTGCCTCAGAATCCGCCAGAGACAAGTGTAGACATGTTCTGAGAGCAGAGTCTCAAATGACTCATTCTTCCAGTTTTCTCAAACCGATTTCAGCTTTTAGGAAAGAGGCTTCATTCATACACACCACACATCAGGCAGTGCCAGACCCTCATGGAACCCTTCATGAGTGGATGGCTCCAGACAACACTTCTCTGCCGAGGAACGTGAATGTCACCAGCCTTGGGGAGGGAACCCCAGTGCAGGAACAGGATCTTTCTAAGACAATGACTGCAGTGACTACCAGGCACCTCCTGGTCTACGAGAAAACTTGATTCCCTGGCCAGAGTCAAGGATTCCCCTTCCCCTTACACACACCTCTTTGAATATTTTCTACAAAGAAATTTGCAAAACCCTGCTGAATTAGGGCTGCAAAAAACTTAGCATGGGCAAGTTTACTGCTGCCATGGTTCCGCACATGAAGGCTGCTGGCTTCTACGATCTAAGTGATACTTAAGAAAATCCCCACACCTCTCCCAAAAGGTGGGCTGAGGCTGTGGTAATGTCCCTGGACAATTCATGGGACCTAATCAGCATTATACAGTACTGAAGAGCCTCAGTATTAAGAGCTATGGCTGAATGAGATTCTTTCTGAGCTATAAATTTGGGCAAATGATGTAGTTTCTCCAAGAAGCGACTCCCTCATTGTAAACCAGTGGGTTATAAAGGAATGGACCAAACTGAGTTTTTCCAAGGATGAAATGGGAGGAGTTCAAGGTGAGCCCTTCACCAGACACCCTAACTAACAGATAGAGTTGCACTATCTATCAGTAGCAAAAATCCTTCCTGTCAATTGCATTACTGTCCACAGTTAGGATGCCCAGTACAAATTTCTCAGCTTTGAACATTAAATTACCACTTCCACAATTTCAGGCCCAAACCACTGCCAAGTATTAATCCTTCGAAACCTGCCCAGCAAACTCCAAGCTGGTAATGCCAGCACATGCCTTTTTCACAGAGAGTACTTGCAAGTATACAACTTAATAAAGTGCGTGGCATGCAAAGTTGGTTAGAAAACGCCAAACCTTAGCTCCAGTGGGATCAAAGAACAAAATACATGTTATAACCAGACCTAATACAAAATTGCTTTTTAGTTCAGAAACAGAATGCCTGCCAATTCGGGGAAGCTGCCTGGAAACAATAATCCAACACTATATGATCACAGTCGTCTTCATTTTTAAACTTGGGTATGAAAAACAGGGTAGGTTATAGAAAAAACAGAAAGATGAATGTGCTTTACTTTGCCATAGATTTTTTTTTTCATATTGCAAAAATATAAGGTCCAAATAAGAGAAGGCAAGCAAGGCAACTAGAGTGCAAAAGTTAAAGACACACTAGTTCTCAAGGCTGTTCAAGTTCTAGGGCAGCATGTGAGCGTAAATACCTACTTAAATTTTGCTCCCCACGCTCCTTGCCTGCCTCATCTTACTCCGGTGTTTAAGGGAGATTGTGAAATGAGATGTTATTTTCATGTACTTGTGTGTGTGGCAATGTCTTACACGGGCGTCCAAAATGTGAACTGATGGGTAACAGTGTAACGCATTTCTCCTCCAAAGACCAGAATTTCACGGCTTGGGGCAGCTAGGCAAGGAACAATTTCCTAGAATCTTACCAAGCTCAAAGGCAGTTCTTCGCCACTTTGCAAGCATTTTTTTCATCAACCTCCAGCAATGTTTTCCCATCCTCTCCCACACAAATGAGAATTCATCCCACAAACAGCAGAAAAGCCCATTCCCAGACATTATTTTTTACCTGCATAAACCCTCTGGGAGAACAGGACACGATGCAAAATTGAAAGGGATCACTTACTGATCATGGGATCTGACCACTGGGCTCGAGGACTTCTTTTTCTTTTCAAGCTCTGTGTGTAAATGAATCAGTGTTTGATTAGATAAATATTCATAGAGCTTATTTTTAGAAAAACTAAACAGTAATAAAGTAGAAGTAAACATACCCTACCATAGACCTATGGAATTTGAGGCACATAAAAGTCTTAAAAATCTCACAGTGGAAACTTCAGTAATCGGGCACAGCATTTCTTTCCCAACTTGTCTACAAACTGAGCAGTAAAAGGAAAGGGGCTTAAAAACAAAACAAAAAAAAAAAAACAGCCCTTTGCCTTTGAACTCTTCTTTTAAGTTGCCCACTTTTACCTCATAAAGCCTCATTTACAAATAAGCATGTTTCCAAATCCAGGATACATTAGAACAAGGGCTAGGGAGAACACACAAAAAAACACACCTGCATACTAGAGTCAAAGTGTGTATGTTCCTGATTTGATTCTTTAACTGAAGCCACTTGGATTTGAAATACTAAACAAGTAAGAGTCAAAACTGAAAAATTACAGGTGTTTCTTCCTTCAAGCTAGCAAGTGTTTGATGTGTTCCCCTAATGATCGGGATGTAATCCCTGCTCCTGAAGAACCAGGAGACGACATGATAAGCTCTGCCCTCCCGACCCAACCTTCTGCAGATCTTCACCTGCTTGTGGCCCGTGAATGGCAGCCTCTCGTGTCACATGCATTTTGATGGCAGCTGTCCCATGCAAATTCATGTATGATCCCACACTGAGCTATGAAATAGCCTAATGTGTCATGGTATGTGACACGTGGCTTCTCGTTTCTACAGTTCAGTGGTTCTCAGCATCTATAGCAGAAGAGTAGTCCTGCTTCACGCTTTTAAGGAAAGCCCACCACCCTATGCTAACCTGAAACACAACTAAAGAACGGCATAAGAGAAACTACTGTCTAAATACTGCAAAATTCGACTGCTCTTATCCAAGTGATAGAACGAGTTGATCGTTTTCTTTTTCATTTGACAGAAGAATAAACAATTTTATAGAATTTTTTTGAGGACCTAATTATATACTAAGCAAGAAGTAATTTTTCCCTCCTGCCCACGTTTTATGTTTGGGGCACTTCCATTTCACGTCCCCTGACACCTTTTCCAATAATCCATCTACTTGATATTGGAAAGCCTCACATGAATAAAACTTTATGGCACTACAGGCGTTTAGCCTTCCACTGACATTCCTGGCCTGTTCAATTCTGCAATTCAATCAAAATCAAATCTCAAAATCCTCTTGTCAGCCAGCACTGCTTTCATATGCCTGAGCCTTGTGTAAGGATAACTGCATCCAATCTTCCCCCCAAGCAGTGCTTATATTGTTTTATTACAGTTCAATGAGTGGAGTTCAAAATTACATGCAGCTGCCTACTACTGTGGTCAGGCTGTGTTACGCATGGACACAAGTATTGCCCACCAGGCCTGAAATCATTCACTTACTGGCTGGCCAGAAAGGCTGTGAGCACTTCTTTGTATGGAGGAACATCCTGTCTGCTAGATCTAAAGAGGGTGATGTTAACAGATCAGTCCCTTTATAAAAGGATTGTGAAAGCCCAATGAAATGCAACTCAAATGTGCTCAATGTTAAGCATGTGGCTAGAGCACATAAAAGCAAAGATAAACCTCAACACGCACTACTTATTCGCAGAAAGCTTGTGAAGGAAGATAAAGAGATCCAGAATAAAAGACATCTCAAAGAATTTTTATATGTGTTTCAAATGAGGAAGCTTCATTTAAATGGAGTTTTTTTAATACCCCCAATAATCCTTTCATTGAAACAAAAAGACACAATACACAGCCAATTAAACACAATGTAACCTGATGAACAATACAGAAATTAAAACACCAGGGGTTTAGGAAGGGTCTGGTAAGATGGCGAAAGGCAGAGTGATGGGGAAAGGGCTCCGGGAGCAGACTATACTGTCAACACCAGGACCAAAGCTCAAGTGGTCACCTAATATTTTAAAAACAAAAAAAACTGACTACGGCATGCTGGAACACAAAGAAAGGCAAACTGGGTTTCATTGGAGTAGCTATCAAATTATCTGGTCATCAACAAATGGGGGCATGGGGTTTCCTCACCAAAGAACTGTCAAAGCCCCAAATAAAAATATGAATAAAAATATAAATGGCAACTCCAGGCTACTTTTAGGTTGGCAACTCTACAGGTAAAACAATAGCCTCCTAGGGCACAGTGATTCAAGAAAAAAAGAATTACACGTGTCTCATTTATGTCGGGTGGACATCCTCATGCAGGCGGCCAAACACCTTTCTGTGGCACCTTTCTGTGGCAGGAGGTTTGAAAGATGCACGCAACTGCAACGTTTTTATCTGTGATGCCCCAACATCCCTGGAGCCCCAAAGGTGAATGATGTCCACGTCTAATAGCAGCGATGCTGCATCTTTGGAAACAATGTTATCAAAAGGAACCCTAAAGGGAACATGAAAAGCTCACAGAAAACCAAAATTAGGCTCAAGACTACATACTCAGAAGTTTAAGCTCAAGTTAACCCTCACACCAAGGGGACAAATGTAGAGGTAGGTCTTCTGCTGCACCTATGTTTGCAGGCATGGTTTAGATTCGCTTGCAATGACACTTTATTTTCAGTAACATTGGAGACTCAAGGACCCAGCAAGTCAAGACAGGGACAATTCACAGCAGGCACAATACCAGGTGAGCTTTTAGACATAATTTTATTCTCCCTGGGATAAGCGATGAGATGCAGGCTTACTGACCCAAATGGGGCGCTTGTTATATTTTCATACCGGACAGGGCTGAACTTCGAGGGCCGAGGCACACATTTCTGAATGTGGACACTGCTCTGGTCAAGACCTGTCATTCTTTGACGGTCACAAAGCAGGAATGCCTGCCTTTCTCCCAAGCCAACTGCAGTGAAATGTGACTGTTAGATAGCTTTTCAATTGCCGAGTAAATCAGCTGGTATTCCCAGAAAATGGAAGCGTATTCCACAGACCAGCCTCATTCCCTTCCTTTCCCTTTCCCAATGGGTAAAATGAACAAACCTCAAAACAAATTGAACATCACTCTTAGTACTTACAGACGCACACTCAGCTTTCTGGCATCTTTAGAAAATCAGAAAATCTAACAATATGGCCTCGAATCCTGACGACAAGTGGCTGGAGTGCAGCGGCAGTGGCTCCCTTCAAGCACTGCCTGTGCTTGGCTCCAGACCCCAACAATCCACCTACTTCTTTTCAACTACCCGTGTGTCTCCTTCTAATATGAGTTTGAGCTCCCTGGGACACAGGTTACCTCGTGTTAGTTCTGGGACCAAAATCGCATGATCTTATCACAATCAGTGCTGTTGGACATCAGTGAATGTTGCTACTCTGCCTGTCTCTAATTTCCTAAGGAAGGGGACTAAGGATACAGATGGCTTCATAATAAATGCCAAAGCCAGTCAAATAGAGACACCAAGACCACAGCAGGGTCCCTACCCCAGACCTCACCCCTACCAACCCCATTTCAAAATGTGTATCAGGCAAGAGATTTATTGCTTCAAATATGAGTTACAAGATACATTCTTCAAGCTGAATGACACACGCCAATGGATACTCTGAAACCTAGTTGCCTTGGTTATCTTAATAGCCAAAGCAGATTCACGGTGTGATCCAGGCAACTCTATCCACCCAATCAAAGGGCAGGTTGTAAGAGGATTTCAACATGAGAGCAAAGAACGTCTGGAGCTCAAGGTCTCAAAAATTAAACACCGTTAGATCACCCAAAGGTGAATTGATACCCATTTCATTTTAGTTTAAACTCTTTTTTAAAAAATGAAACCACCCCCTACTCTACACATCTAGAGATCTTGTCCAAAGTCACTGATATAATCAATAGCACCTTGGAGATCTAGAACCCTATTCTCCCTTGTGACATTTACAGTTAGAGTTAGGCCACTGGCTACATTCCTCTGCCAAAGAGCCCAAGTGTAAAAGGAACTCACAAATGTGCACTAGGCTCCAAGACCAACATCTTACTGGTCTCTGCCTTCCAAAAAAGAAAACAGATAATCTTTAAGGAAAGACTCTTTATCCTAACAGCTATGACCCAGACATTTGTGTTTAGACAATGAACAGGTCCAGCTTGAAGACTCTGTAACCTCTGAAAGACAGCTGACATGACTTCGAGTATTCCCAACAAATTAGCTATCCAGCCAAGAAACCCTTGATGAAACAAATGTTTATGCAGCAGCAGGAAATCCTGAGCTGGACTCGGGGTAAGCGTTACCTCGCTACAACTACCTCTACAAGATGTCCCTTTCCAGCAATCTGGAGTTCACAAGGACATACACTCTGTTTTGTTACAAAGCAGGAGCAAGAGAACATGCCTCCGAAGTGTCTGGAAGGCCCGTGAGCCCAGCTGAGAGAGCTGTACTCCTACAGGGCAGTCAGAGCCAAGGACACTGGGGATAATTCGGAATCTTTGTGCCTCCACATACATGAGCTGCACCCCTGGCACTTTCACCTTTTTGCGAAAATGTTCCTCAGCGTTCACAGACACAGTGACACACTGAAGCAGGCACTGAGGCAGAGAGGGACACAGGTGTTCAATCAAAAAACCACAGAGACAAAAGCACCTAAAGAGTTGCTTTATAATGTTTTTTTCAAAGACTGCAATATAAACAACTTAACCCTGATGTTCCAAGGATGGTCTCAACAAGCAGCACGGACAACATTCTGTGTAGGACCCGAGCCCGATGTGGCAGCACATGCCCGTAACCCTAGCAGTCTGGGCCACTGAACCAGGAGGATCCACATACAAGCACAGTGTGGACAACTTAGCAAGACCTTGCCTCAAAATAATTCTTTTAAAAAGGGCTGGGGATATAGCTTACCGTGAAGGTCCTGGGTTCCATCTCCAGTTGAGTGGGGGACGAGAGAGACAGGCAGGCAGGTAGGTAGACAGTCAGACAGGCAGACAGGCAGCCTGCCTGATCCTGAATCTCCTGAATGAGAGACCACAACTGCAATCCCCATGCTCACCAAGGCATGAAGG